CCCCCTGGACGCCTCCCTCGGGAGGTGTTCCAGGCACGTCCCTTTATTGTCCCACAATGTATGAATGTTTTGATTGAATTGTCTATGTACAGTGTCTTGAGATAACATGTTTTCTGAATTGCTGCTATATAGGTAAGCTGAATTGAAGTTGAATGATTCAGTTGACTCCTGTTCATACATGTAGTCATATATTTGAATTTTCTTTGCAATCTTATGCCTTTAGCTGTACAGAATAGAGAGCCCCTTGCACTCAACCAGTAAAATTTGTCCATTTGTGCACTCAACAATCTTTCTGAATCTTAGAAGTCCATCTAAGAGTATGGACATACATTTTATGCAAGAACAGACCACAGCCTGTGAACTGCTATGTAAAGGTCAATATGATGGTCATTATTCCTCAAACAGAAATAGGAATTGCATCTTATTTCTCACAGTTAAGTGTAAGTATGTATCAAATGTCCGAGTGTACATACAAGTGGTAAATTGAAGCAGAATATCCATTAAGGTTGGATAGTAGTGAGCCTTAAGGCGGTTTTAAGGTAAAATAATTAGGGTGTTTGTTAAACCAGAGGCTATATGAATGCATGACTGATGATCCAGTGAATTGTGGTGTGTGTTTCTGCAGCTGTGTGGTGGAAAGGTTAAAATCACTGTAATATTTATAAAGCAGTGACACAGAACAAAAGGGTGTGTGGTATGTTTTGCAAACTGAGTCACAAAGACACATCCTGCTTCAGCCCTCGCAGTTCCGTCAGCATCCATGCTGCTTGTAAAAACCCACAGTTTACCTGAAAACCAACAAGCCGTGGAAAATTTGGTTAATATGCAGTACTTTAATTTAGATTTTGTTCTAAAAACCAAATAGGGAGCTTAACCAAACCTGTCTAAATTCTAAAAGGATAGGATGCCTACGTTTTTTTATACCAAAACATAAATCAGACTTATGGAGATCACTGAATATATGCTTTTGAGGTACAAATTATAACGGGAAAATACAAAAAGCACTAATATAAACAGCTGTTTGCTTGGCAGAATAAAAAAAGAAAAGACTAACCTGCTGAGTTTACTTCCTGCTGTATTTATTTACATTCTTTTTCTCTTTGTAGTCTTCTTTTAGAATGGAAAAATTTATATTTCAGCTGATGGTTTTCTTTTTTCCTCTTTTTTGATTCAGTTTTCATTCTCATTTGCATTGCTTGCTATTGCTACATCACAGTTTTATCATAAAAAAAACCTATGTGAGTGATGATAAAACGATTAATGTATCCCATATATATTTCTATTCAATTCAGTTTATCTATATACTGTAGCACCAATTCACAACACATGTCATCTCAAGGCACTTTACAGTTCAACAGATCATACAGTCAAATTGATTCAAAGTTTTCTAAATAAAACCAGTTGATTGCATCGACTCATTGACTCGAAGGCAATCCCTCACACTAAGCATACTTGAAGCGATAGTGCGTCACTTCCAGGGGTCTTTCATTATCAGGATTGTTCTGCCCCTTAGTCAACCTTTCCGGGTGGGTCCTGCTCTTCAAAAGCCAGGTCATTTGTGCTGCTAGGCGTTGATGGAGAGAAGTCAGTTTCTTCAGTCAGTAGGAGTAGATCATGTCTGGGCCTGGTGCTTTCCATTTTTTCATACCTGAGAGTCATCCAGGTCATGGATGAAAAGTTCAGTTTACGCAGCTGGGCGTGAAGTCTTCTAGAAGACTTTTCTCCTCCCACCCAAGAGGCCTCTTCAGGTCTATCTGGTGGTGCAGAGCACTGGTGGTGTTAATCTCAGTGCTCCCCAGATGCCTAAACTGAAAATTTCAAGCCTGTTTCTGTGACGGTCTGAGTAGAGATCGTAGTTAGTGCTGTATTCACATCAGCCCGGAGATCATCTGGTAGCACCTTAAATTAGCTAGCCGTTGCCGGGGTACACAGGTTCTCATCTGAGCCATGATTTTACTTCTTAGGTCAGTAGTCCTCCTATTTAGTTGAGCTGGAATCATTGGGACCAATATCAGGAAGGTTGATGGTGGTCTCCTCATCTGACCTTGTATCTTCAAAAAAACAATATCCTCTATTGTCACATGTTAACACGTTAAACATCTATGTGATATGTGTGCAGGAAAGGGCTTGATTTAATCCTCTTGGAATCAAAGGGTGTGATTTAATGAGTGTATCTTCAGCAGATTGCTAGCTCTACCAGTGTGAGCATCATGACAGCAATATTTTAGGCAAAAGGCTTTTTCTTTTTTATCTGACCAGTAATAGAAAATAGACTGAATACCATTTAGGTTTATGTAAATCCCTTTATTGTCCCACAATGGGGAAATTCACTCTCTGCATTTGACCCATCCTCTTCACGAGCAGTGGGCTGTCATTGTGTGGCACCTGGAGAGCAGTGTGGGGTTATCTGTTTTGTTCAGGAACCCAGCGTGCAGGCTGTGGGGATGGAACCAGGTCCTTGCAACCTTCTCAGAGCCCAGGCACACTGCTCTAACCACTTGGCCAACACTCCCCCAGTACACCTGTATTTCATATAATATATTTCTTGTCCTCCTCTCCTCTCGTACTCCTCTTAGCGCAGCGCTGGCACGGCACATACTAAGCAGCTATCAGACACTACGAACTCTGGATTCACATAATCTCCTGAGTGACATCTTAAGAAGGCTTTGCTTTCAGTTTCTCTCCTCTCACCTTTCACTCCTTCTTCTCATCTAGGTGTTTTTCTGCTTTCATTTTATTTTGGTGTATCTCTTTTATTGTCTCTGGAGGGCTGTCATCAAGAGTTCATCAGCAACTGGCTTTAAAGTGCCATTGTTCTTCAGTACAGTGAAGAAGGGTTATATTCTGCCTTAGAAGAAGGAAACTTGAGAAAAAAGGGTCAGTAGGATTTCATCAGCAAGATTTCAAGGAAGTCCGTTCCAATTAACAGGTTTTTACCTCTTATCTTCCTAGACTTAATTTAGGCAAATGATGATAGTATTTTAAAACTAATTTATTTTCTAAGAAAAATAATAAAAGCCACTCTGAAAAATTTCCATTTTTCTTTAGACAGAGGAAGCTCCTCAAACTTCATGAAATATTTATTTTAGTATTTTAGAACTCAAGAGCCTTTATTATCATTACAAACCTAGGGTGAAATTTTGTCAGGACACATGGTTTAGACTCAAAAAGAGATAAAAATATACACACAAAACTATATGGCACTTTGGGAGGAAAAATGGCTCACTTATAGCAGCTGAAAAAATACTTCTAGAAGTATCACATGGTATAATTATATAAATTCTCCTAGAAGTGTACATGGTGATGTAGCATGGTGAACTGAATTTATATAAAGTGCAACTTGTGCTATAGCAGCCTATGAATGGCCATTGGTCATGAAATGGACTGCTTCAACAATGCAGTCTTATTAACTTTGTGACACACACAATAATGTGAATAGTCCAATATTTTTCACTTAGCAGTTCTTTGTCGTTTTAGCTTTGTTTTGTGGTTCTAATCTTGTTGAAGACCAATGACCTGTGATTGAGACAAAGCTTTCTGATGCTAGACAGCACACTTCTCTCTAGCCTCACATGATAATCTTGAGATTTTAATGCACCCTGCAGAGATTGAAGACATCCTGTGGCAGAAAAATTGAAGCAGTTCCACAACACAACAGATTCTCCTCAAAGTATGACTGTAGGGAAAGTGTTATTTTCTTGATATGCTTCATTTTTTCCATCTGTGAACATAGAGCTGATGGCCTTTTTCAAAAAGTTCAAATTTTTTTCCTAATCTGTCCATTAGACTGCCCCCAACAATCTTTGCAGCTTGTCAACATGTGGTTTGGCAAATTCTGGTCTGGCTTTTTATGACTTCCTTTCAACAATGGTGTCCTCCTTGGTCGTCTCCCGTTAAGCCCACTTTGGCTCAAACAGCAACGAATGTTGCAACCTGACACTGATATTCCTTCAGCTTGAAGTTCACCTTTAATCTCCAGAAGTTTTCCTGGGCTCTATTTTTTGCATTCATGTTATCGTTCTATTTGTCATCAGTATCTTAAATTTCTGAATAGTGACGACCATTTAGCTGGGCGACCCACACACAAATGGCAGAAAGCCTTTGCCAAAAAAAAAAAGAAAGCCTCTGCACACTTTCCAATTTTATCTAAAAGACATCCAGGAATTGTTGATCCAAAAGCCCCCAGTCAGCATCCAGTCCTTCTTATACAGCCCAAAGCATTACCATATAAGGTGATGCTAGAACCACACTTGTCACCATATGCAGGAAATAAGAATATCCATTTTAGCTGACCCACACAGAAGAGTGAACAGATATAGAAATGGACAAATGCAACAGTTATTTAAAATAAAAAAATAAATCAATCTTCAACAGTCTGCATAATTTAATTAAAAAAAACAAGGAAATTCACTTTGCATTTAACTCATCCCCTTAGTGGAGATTAGTTGCACTCCAATCATTTGCTCTGGACCAAATCACCAATGTTGTGTTAATTCCAAACCAATTGGTCTCGTCGTTTCAACATAACTCAATCACTTCCCCCCAAAGCTATTTAATCAAATAAAACTCCACAATAAGGGTTTAGGTGGGATTGATCAACCTTCAAAGTCTCAACAATGGACAGATTTAGTGTTATTTCTTGGCTTAACATGCGTCACAGACTACACAATTACAGAAACAGAGAACGTCGCTTGGAGTTTTGGCATTACATCCATAGTTATCTGATTTGTTCTAACTGATGATGCTGATCCTGCCTTTGAAACCACCTCTACCGGATCTTTACCAGAGTGATACACTGTATATACGTCCAAGCGGCCTCGGAAGATGGCCGCTCACACTGAGTCTGGTTCTGCTGGAGGTTCCTTCTTGTTAATAGGGAGTTTTCCTCTCCACTGTCACTACAAAAATGATTGGTGAGAGGGATTCCTTTGAGTCAATGATAAATACAGTCAGCTGGATTTATTTAAATGGAAACCTTTGAACCAATCTGACTGTATGATTTGGCTGAATTGTGATCACATGTTGTGGCACTATATAAATAAACTGAATTGGATAAGTTGGGCTGGCTAGGCTCTATCTTAAATGTTGAACAAAATATAAACTAATTAATCAAATGTCTATATTAGCTTGATTATTTCTGCTTTTGGCCAACGCCAACAAGTAATTACACATCTTAGACTTGTTTTAATAAAAGGTTTTACTCCAACGGTTTGAAGAAAAAGCCTTAAAGACTCCAATATCACAAAAATAGCCAAACTCCAAAAAGCTCTTCAATGAAAATCTGCATTGAACATTAGGAAATCAAAAAGCCTGGCTTCCTCCAGTTCACTCAAAGTCAAAGTCATGACTAAATCTGATTAGACTAATTATAGAGAGAGTTGCAACTAATCACAGTTTTTCATTGAACTGTTTTTGCTTGTATCTGATTTTTTCTTTTTTCCACACTTTGTTAGTCTTATGGTCTCAATTTGCATTTTGTTTTTCTTTTCTTTTTTAACTTCAGACTGTTTTGCATCTAAAGCGGAGGACCGACTTTTCAGGAAGCTTTTCAGGCGGTACAACCAGTTCATCAGACCAGTGGAGAATGTTTCGGACCCTGTTACTGTAGAGTTTGAGGTTTCCATCTCGCAGCTTGTTAAAGTTGTAAGTTTTCCATTCCATGAAACATACTCTTGACCTACATAAAAAGGCAATGAGAGCAGAACTTAGTCCAGTGTTTTTAATGTTTTTTAAATGCTTTGTACTAACACAGTTGTTTTCTTTTTGTGTATGTGTGTGCAGGGAGGGGGATGAGAATTTAGCTGCTATAAATTCTCATGTGAAAGGGCCCTTTTGTTCAAATCAATCAAAAGAAAATCTTTAGATTAAGAGGAAAATTTCCTAAAGGAAACTTTTTCTTATTGGACTGACTTGCACCTATATATGCATGCTTGGCAAGTTGGGATCAATCTAGAGGGAGTGCACTGACCTGACTGTGTGGGTGTGATCTGATGAAATTGTCTTGTCTGTCTGTGCATGCATTCTCATGTGGCCGGGGTTGGCTGATGGGCTCCTGTGGGTGGCTTAGGTACAATCGTGAGAATCCCTGGACCGTAAATCAAACTCGATGAGTAATATAGAGAATAGAAAAGAGGGGGTGACACTTTTACCTCTATATATTATTAAGATGACCTTTTCAGCTGGACAACTAATACTAGAGAGGACACAGAAAGGAGAAAGAACAGTTTTATTTTTTGTTATTCCCAGCAAATTTAGCGGTTTTCACATTCAAGCAACCTTTTTATACCATTTCAAATGGGGACTTTTTTATTCTCTTTTTTTTTGCAGGATGAGGTGAATCAAATAATGGAAACAAATCTATGGCTCCGACACGTGAGTTCACAAACAGACACACAGATGCATCACATGTGTGAAAGTATGCTATATAGTTAAATCACTGAAGCCAGAGAGGTCAGAAGAGTATCACGGTTGTACTTGCACTCTATGATGCTTTTTTTTTCATGTATAACATATCAGGAAGAGCATTCAAATACTTAAAAAGCAACAAATAAAGAACCTGCAAGCTCTTAAGCTAGCAATAAAATTAGCTTTATTACTTGAGACACTCTGAGATCTACAGTCCCAAGCATATATTCACAGTATATATATATATATATATATATATATGTGTATATATGTATATATATACTGCATAAAAAAATAACATTTTCATTGCAAATGAATTAATTAAATCAAGTAATTTCTAGATAAAGTAAAACACCATACGGTTTCAGTGACAGTAAACTTGCCTTTTGATTGAAACTCATGGCCAGGATAATCTACGCTACCTGAGCCTATCAGGAATCAGCCAGGCAATCAAAATATTAAGTTGGTGGATGGATAAATGGAAAAACCAGTGTAGCATGAACTGGTTAATTAAAAATCTTCTGGGTCATGACTGGGTTATTAATCCATCTCGCTAATGAATAAATTCATATTTAGCAGCATTCAAATAGCCAAGGCTGATGGATCCACAGCTCATAAAACGTAACCTGCAGGTGTGTGAAACAGTAAGAGTGTGCAATAATCCTTTAATTGTCAGCGAGGAATTTATTCATAGTTTCACTCTTCTCTTTGTATATATATATATCTGTTGTAGGGATTTTTGACACTGTAGAAATTATAGTTGATAAATTTGTCCTGAAGAAGGAGCAAATGAAATTGCTCTGTGAAATTTGATATCACAATAGTACACATACAAGGCTTTTAAGAAGCAGAAAACAGTTTTGTGTTTCTTAAAAGCCAAATACATTTTTCTTTTTATTTCTAAAGAGATTTTTTGCTCCCAGTCACCAGTTTACAAGTTAAAGATATTTCTGATATCTACCCAATTCCAACAAAAACAATTTTATGTGTAAAAACTTGCTTAATCGCTTCTTGAATGAGTTCCTTACATGTAAACAAGAAGTTGCTTCCCAAGATTGGTAATATAAATTTTACACTTTAATATGTGATATAAACATAATCGATCCTTAATCTTTCAGAAATTGGGAGGATGACCTGAACAAATTGCCTCTGATTTCATAAACCAGCATATTTAGCTCTTTCATCTGCTCCATTTGTAATAGTTCTATAAAAGGACAAGAATGCAGCCAGGGAGGTAATATATTTTAATATGATTTTATCCAGTATTTAATTAATACTGAAAAAAAGATGATGCTATTTTATGCATTTCTTTACTCCTCCTTTAAAAGAATCCCATGCAATATTAATGGAAGTATTTTTTTTTTTTTTCAGGAGTTCCTTACACAATCCTGCAGCATCATTACACAGAGAAAATTTGATATAGAATGAGAAAAACTACAGTATAATATTTTCAAAATATTTTGATGTTTCTCTTTCAGATTTGGAATGACTACAAGTTAAAATGGAAGCCAGCAGAGTTTGATGGAATAGAATTCATCCGAGTTCCATCAAACAAGATTTGGAGACCTGACATAGTTCTCTACAACAAGTGAGGCTTTCACCTTTATCTGTCAAAATTCTTCTGTACTTGTCACGCCGTAACTTTGAGTTGGACCAAAATGCAGAGACAGAGAAAGCAAATAGTTTTATTTTTTATTTTTAAGGAAAAGCAAGTAACAAAATAGGTGAAGAAGTTGTTGGTGAAGATTCTCAGTCATCCAGGTCATACTCATTCCAAAAAAAAAAAAAAGAAAAAGGAAAACAATCCAGTGGACTTTGTTTCCAACCAAGTCTTGTTGGGCTACTGTATAAAACCTCGAACACAACGCTATTCTCGACATTTTGAATTGAAAAAGCTTATTGGATAGGAAGCGAAACATCTTCAAAGTTGGAAACGCGGTGTAGAAATTACAAAAACGACAGGAAACATAGGGAGTCAGAGAAGAACAAAAAAACAGGAATCCCGAGAGTAGCAGGAGCAGAGAAAATACCAGGTTGATAACCATAAGAACCACTGAGGAGAAAGAGCAATAGAAAAGCTTCTAGATACTCGGTCTGAATCCCAATCTGGCCCCTAAAGACTTGCCCTAAGCACTAACCCTCTGTTTGCATGTTCCTTTGGAAGGTCTGCCACATTAAGGGCCATCCCAAACCATGTAGTGGGTAAGACTAGTGGACGATTCAGCCCTTAAATAGCATGTCTGCATCAGTGCAGGCTCACTGGAATTTGGAAGCAGGTGTAAGAGCAAACTAGTGGTGGTGGAAACGTGCATTCAAATGAAAGTTACGCTGTTTTCTGCATCTTCATCACACTGACAGAAAATCACAAGTTAGGAAATAGAAAAAATGATGTCATGAATCCCTAAATGGAAGGTCCTCTTTGAAATAGTTTTATTTGACTGGTTAGTGACTGGGGAGTGTTGGTCTAGTGGTTAGAGCAGTGTGCTTGTGCTCTGAAATGGTTGCAAGTAACCGGTATTGTCCCCACAACCTGTACCCTGGGTTCCTGAGTAAGACCCTAAACCCCACACTGCTCCCCGGGCCCCACACAATGGTAGCCCACTGCTCCCCAAAGGGATGGGTTAAATGAAGAGATAAATGTCTACAATGTGAGAACAATAAAGTTAAATTACCGAATGTTTGCTGTTATGTTAACCTGTGCCAAAGAGATACAGCTATGAACACGCTTTATGAATGACTGCATTCCCTCCAGTGAAAGGGAATGCAGTCATTCATAAAGCGTGTTCATAGCTGTAGCTCTTGTGATTTTTTGTCAGTGTGATTTAACTGGGAGTGACACTTGATAGTTAAGGGGTAGTGTTTAGGGCAGTTTAGGATTGGGCTGCACTGGAATTTAGTTGTGGGTTTAACAGCGATCTTATAGTGGAGGACACATGTTCCAAAGGTTTGCTGCATCTTTGTCACATTGACAGCAAATTAGGAAAAAGAAAAAAAGTAATTTATTACAAAAAGGTAGGTCCTCTTTGAAATAGTTTTATTTGACTGTATCACTTTGTTTTCTAATGTTTGATTTCATGTCAACTTGCACCACAGAGCTACAGCCATGCACATAGGATATCACTATGTAGCCATAGCAACAGTTGTTTTCATTTCGAGTGTATAAAGAGGACGTCCCATTCTCATTTATACCCCCAGTCAAGATGCCTTCCACAGCTGCGAGTGTGACTTTATCGGGAGTGACTCGATAGTGAAGGGATAGTGCATAGGGGCAGTCTGGGATTGGGCCAGAGCACAGAGAGAGTGGCAACAGGGAGCAAGGGAGAGTAAACAGGGAAACTAGGAAAATCTATCTAAAATTCACAAAGCACAAATTAAAGACAAGACTTACATAACCTAGAATAACTATGGAAATACCAAACTAATCAAGGAGGGAAGTCAGGAGAAAAAGGCAACAATAATCAAAACTAGAAAAAAACTCCAAAAATAACCCTAACAACCCTGATCCTGACAGAGCTGATATAATTTCTTTTAGGAACTGTTTTTTGACTACCTCAAAAATAAACAAAACTGAAAACTAAATTATTACTACCGAGAGCAAAAGCCAAGAAAGTTGTTCAGCTTCTGAAATATTTGAGTACTAATTTATAAAAAATAAAAAAAAGTTTAATATGATATGTTTAATATGATGATCCTCTTATTGGATGAAATATTTGCTTTTTCTTCATGTCCTACTAAACTCCACTTGTGTTATGTCCTTTCAATCTTTGGCTGCCTGGGAAATATATTGCTATCCCTACTGAACAGTGCTGTAGGTGACTTCCTTGTAGAGGACAAGACCAAAGCCTTGCTGAAGTTTGATGGCACGATCACCTGGGTTCCTCCTGCTATTTTCAAATCCTCCTGTCCAATGGATATCACCTACTTTCCTTTTGATTATCAAAACTGCTCCATGAAGTTTGGCTCCTGGACTTACGATAAAGCCAAGATTGACCTGGTACTCATCGGATCCAAGGTCAGTAGTTGCATCAAATTAAAAAAAAAAAAAAAAAAAATTGAAATTGACTTCACAAAACTAAAAAAAAAAAATGCCTTTTTCCTCTTTTCAAATGACCTCTTTGAACACATTTAGGCATAAATATGTAAGAGCTTAGTAAAAGCTGGATGTAGGTGTGTCTCTCCCTCCAAACACCTGAATCCGATGTTTGAATGACCTCCTCAGCATGCAGTCTAGTCCTTCTACTGACCTGATTATCTGTTTCAGCTTTGTTGAAGCAGAGACACAATAAAAAAGCTGCAGGACATCAGACCTTGAGGACCGAAATAGAGGAACCCTTGTCTAGACTTTGACTAAACCATTCTGATGTTCCTCACAATTCTATCAGTTTCTATGTAATTGCCCTGTTGGAAGGTGAAGGAGTTTAAAATAGCTTCTAATAGGTTTTCAACCTGGATCATCCTATATGTTTAGCCTAATCTTTTCTATCAAGTGATGGAAGCAATAGTTTCCACTCACCAATATTTTCTATCACATCTCTAATTGCTTTATGGCAAAGTTGAAATCATGTTAAAATTAAACTGGAAAACTAATAACTTCTGAAACTAATTGGGTAAACATTATAGGTAGTTTCCAGGGGCTCAGTTAAACAACCCCCTGTTTTTTTCTTTCATATATCAATCTAATCACACTGTTTGTAAAACTGCTTTGGAATTTACAATAAAGTGCACCAATTTAATTGATCCACCATGAGCAAATGTAACTTGTATGCAAGCACTACACTAACTTTCAAGAATTAATTAAAACATGGATCCTAATGGAATTTGTTAGATCAAACTTTAGGACAGCAATGAAACACACACACAGCATGCAGCTTTAGTAGACACTGCTCAGAGATGACTTGCCGGTGCAGAAATCAGGCATTAGAGAATAAAAACAAATTAATATGCATCTCAGTAAAACAAAGCAAAATAACAAAACATGATTTTGAAATTCACTTCAATATAACAAAAAGTGAAATTCCTTTGAAAATAAATCTGAACACACACAAACAACAGTGGAAATTATTGTTACTAAATGTAAAGCAGACAATAATATTACCACTTTTTCGAGGTACAACCTATAATTTCTATAAATATGAATTACTATGTAAATAAGAAGATAATAAAAAATGGATTCCATGATTTATCTCTGCATATGAAACCCAGCTATTTCCTTGTCTTTTTTGAATACTCTGGCTGTTTCGTAACTGCTTTGGTTGTATTTAATTTGCCTTTAATCTTTTATCAACTGTAGATAAACATCCTTGCAAAGATGGTACCCTAGTGGCTTCACATTTATGATTTTATTACTATGCTTTTAACGTCCAACTGAGTTAGTTTTTATATAATAAACCTAATTTAAAATGAACGATCTCTTAAGCCTTGTCTGTTGCTGTTCTTGTAGTTGATTATTCAGTTTTTAAAATTTGACCCGTTTCCTAGGTAAACCTGAAGGACTTCTGGGAAAGCGGGGAATGGGAAGTCATTGATGCTCCAGGCTACAAACATGACATCAAATATAACTGCTGTGAGGAAATCTACACGGACATCACATACTCCTTCTACATCCGGCGCCTGCCTCTGTTCTACACCATCAACCTCATCATCCCCTGCCTCCTCATCTCTTTCCTCACAGTGCTGGTTTTCTACCTCCCATCTGACTGTGGAGAGAAGGTCACGCTCTGTATCTCTGTCCTGCTCTCCCTCACTGTGTTCCTGCTTGTTATCACAGAGACCATTCCCTCAACGTCACTGGTCATCCCTCTCATCGGAGAGTACCTGCTCTTCACAATGATCTTCGTCACACTCAGCATAGTCATCACTGTGTTCGTACTAAATGTGCACTATCGCACACCAATGACCCACACCATGCCATGTTGGGTGCGGTCGGTATTTCTCAAAGTGTTGCCAAGGATTATGCTAATGCGTAGGCCTATTGATGAGGAGGGTAAGGCCGGGTGGTTGGACAGCAGTGGGGAAGCAGGAGGAGCTGGAGGGGGAGGAGGAGGCGGTGGAGGGAAAGGAAGGAAGAAGTGCAAGAGCAGCTTAAAACAGGTAAGGGATACCTACTTTTTAACTGGTAGTCTGCTTAAGAAAAACTCATCCTGGTGAGTTTTGTTTTTTTAAGTTTTAACTAACTCAAAAAAGAAATATAAATTTGTATTGTAGAAAATGGTTTTAATGACATTCTATCCTTAAAAACAATTAACCCTACTTAAATCAAATAAGTTCTGGAGGAGACTTCTTGGAGCCATCGACCAATCTTTTCCATGGTGCTGTAGAATGTTTGACACCTTCTACAAGGTCATATTAATGAGACCATGATCTGGGCTTTAACTTGTCCTGGAACATATCAGTTATGGATTCATATTTTTACATCATCTGACATCAGGCTTGTATAAAATCTTTGCCTCTTAATATATTAAAAGTCACTTGTTTCACTGTAACTCCTGCATAATTGCTGAAGCCTATACATTTAGCATTTCTTCTAATGTATTACCTTCATCTCTATGTTGAAGTAAAATATACTGGCCGCAGTGCTGTCAAATGTGGGCTCTCTGGTGGTTTTAATCAATAAGGGTGTTGAGAGGATCCTGCTAACCAATCATGGTAAGCAAGTGTTGTCGATGATTTACAGTGAAGGTCATGAGGTTCGTTTTCATCAGCTTTTTCTAATGTGTATTTTGAAGTATAACATCAAAAAACATGAATAAATCATCAAATTCAAATAAACTCCCTCACATTCACAAAGAGTTTATGTTAATTTGAAATGGGTTTTTGCTTTTGCAAAAAAAGGGTTGATTCACAATATGGGAGATGGTAACACTTTTTTCGAATCAGCTCTGACGTTGCAAACTTTTAATCACAAGGCTGATCAGCTGTGTCTGCTGTCGGCGTCTTCCTAAATTTTCAGATTATGCACAAAAACATGGCTGGAAGCAACATCGACATCACTAACCAACATGTTGATATTAGAACAATTTGTCTTATAGCAACACATTCATTAAAACTTCCCTCCATTACTTATGGCAGCCTCCGCTTTCTGCTTATTACAGCAAAGCATGACAACGTACTGTATGACGACATAATTCTATGTGTTGTTTGGTTAATTTACTTTAAACCAAATGGAAACCCCACAAATTTGCATTTCCCTTTTTTTCAAATGTTTTAAACTTTGCTTAAAATTAGCACTTTAGTTGTAGGGGAACGTGGCTAGAGTGGTTTTCCATTGCCTGGTTTTGTCAAATCTGAAAGGACTGATTCATAATCACTCAAGTGTCAAGTAATACTTTCACACAGATGGTTCTGTAGGTCCTAGATCTTCTTGTTTTCCCCCAGCAGGTCGGAGGAGGATCTCTCAACTGTCTAGAAGTCAGTGGGGATACTAAGCTCTCGACCATGGAGGGCTGCACTAGCAAGAAATGTCCTTGCCCTGGTCTGCATGTGAGGGAGATCCCAGAGACACCAGAGTTGGGAAAGCTGAGTCCACAGAGCATAAACACAGTGATGGCCTTCTCTGTAGTGTCACCTGAGATCAAACAGGCCATTGAGAGCGTCAAGTACATAGCCGAGAACATGAGGAGTCGAAACAAGGCTAAAGAGGTGATGGCTTCTTTCTGCTTTTCAAATTTGTTCGGTGATGTTGACTTTACACTCCAAGACTAGATTATAGCACATAAAGGTTTGGGGTGCAGTCAGTGTCATGTGTGCTAATAAAGAGAATAAGAAATCCCTCTCTGCAGCTTTCAAATTATACTTTTTATGAATCTAGAGGGATTTTTGGCAGTTTAGAAAACAGGGGTAATGGTTTTATATTTTAACCATCTACTGTACAGAAAAACAACAAAAAGAAAAGCAGCCATTTAGGTGTTGATGTGTGGTAAATATTATTTACTCCAAAAAATTATATTAAAGGAAACTCATGGATGTGTTAAAATTGTGTTTAAATCTTAGATTGACCATCTTGTATTTAAAAAATCTATGAAATGAATTAGTGAGGCACAACGTAAAGACAGCCTAGAAAGAGTGATTATGAGAACAATTTAGCTGATTACTCTGTGTGTACAGACAAGAACAGTTTTTAAAATGTTTAGTTTTACATTTGAACTCTCTGTGTTGATGTTGTCATCATATTATAAAACCAAATATTACTTTGTTGGTTTTCCAGAGAAATCTTAAAACCATTTCACACAAAAAATAACTTTCTCTCTCTGTTATATATACAGTTTAAATGAATTGCTCAATGGGCTACAAATGCAGCAGCAGTTCGATTGCTTTAAAACTATAGGCCAAAAAACATTCTGTCAGAATTACAGACTAGGAGCTGCGGTCAAAATTAGCTTCAGGGAATAGACTGCTTTGAGAGTTAACAATGCTGTTAGAACTGAGTGTGTATTTAAGGCTCGTCCTGTTTTTCTGTGAGATTTAAGGAAAGAGGAGGAAATCTGAAGAGGAAACAAAATCATTGATCTGAAAAAGCTGAGGCTCAAACTGATTTTCAAATTTATTGATGCTGTGGATTGAGTTTGACTATCATAGGTATTTATCAATGTATAAATAGCCGTTTAATTTTATATTGACTCTCATTTAGTGCTCAGTTTACTCTTATCCTGACCTTACCCATTTGTCATTTTTGCTATTATATCTTATTATGTTAAAAACTACAACTACATGTTTTTTTTTTTTGCCTTCTTTTTTACTCATAGGTGGAAGACGACTGGAAGTATGTGGCTATGGTCATTGACAGAATCTTCCTCTGGGTCTTTGTGACCGTGTGCATCCTGGGGACCATGGGCCTGTTTATCCAACCTCTTTGTGGTTTTGTCTCTTAAACATCTTAAAACTTAGGGTTCTCAGTGACAGTTTGATAATAATCACAAAACACTTATTTCTTGGTTAACTGATGGTAGGATGTGGCTCTGAGTCCTATAACACAACTGCATGTGCTGATTTCATTCAGTAATAATCAAGTGAAGTTAAAAGATGACATTATGAATACATTTATTATTATATAAAATATGACAATACATAAGGCTGTAATGCAGTAATTGGATATCTTTGACAGCTGATTACTTTGACATAACTGATAATGTCTGAATCCAAAGTCATGCAGTCTTTTTTGTCAAAGTCTACTATTAAAAAAATAGTAAACAAATTATTTTTTTCAGTTTGAATTGAAACTAGCAGCACATTCAGTAACATTTTTGGGCTTAAACCTCCTCCAATATTTGCTAAAGAACTGAAGGTTTTTAGAGCCAACAAATGACAGACTCTCTCTAACAAACTGAACAAAACCGCCCTCCAACAAAGTACATAGCTGTTAAAGCAATATAAGCTTCTCAGTGTTATTCTCTGAGCCTCTGTTGTAACAGGCGAATCTAATTATTGTTTTTCCTGTAGTTTATTTATTTTTTCTAATTTTAAGTGTCTGGTTTTCCTTGCAGGCTTTTTTTTTCAGGTTGCTGTAATTACAAAGTATGTCATTATAGATGCCATGTCCTTTTGTCTTATAACGCATTGAATTGCCTTGTAAATGCTTTCTGAAATCATGCTTGATTAGTTTCTCTTAAAATAGCATCTCATTTATGATTTCATCAGAGGACTCTTAATGCCTGATTCCATGGCTAATAATTAAACCTATTTTCATTGTCAGTTAGGATTAGTCTATTTACTAAATGCAGAAGCGTATAAGATACATGCATGAGGGATGTGATGAATGCTCTCCCCTTGGAGCTTGGTTATACAGTGAATTAATGATTACTGTAACTAATAATAAATCAGTATGTCTCTCTTCTTCTAATATGCTTTAATTGCACAATAGGACGGCTGTTTGCTCAGTTTGAACTCTGCAAAAAGTACCAAAAATGTATTAAATGCAAAAGCAATTAAATCACTCTTCTTTCACTGCTTAAACCCATGGCCTTTTTCATTAGGGGATCTTAAAAATAGGCCATGGCTTAAATTTCTGGATTACTTGTTAGCATTAGCACAAACAGCACACCAGCAGCCTCGCAGCATATTTTAGCTGGATGATGTGGTGAATTTAAAGCTCAGATGACCAACTGTTACAACCAGTAATGTAAAAATACTGTTTGCAACATGTGCTCCTTAAGCACGACACACTGGCCAATTGGGGGAATGGATACTGTGCCAGCTAACATAACTAGAAACAAGCCAGGTTTACCGGAACTGGACATATTTGGAAATGTGGTACAGGAACAATGAGCATACATTTTGAGTGTGGGATCAAGGCTCAGACTCTCAGGTCCATTACAAACTGGACCACTAAAAGCACGACAAATGCGTTTTAAGCTTATGCAGGAAGTACCCATAATTCAACAGCGCTATTCTTTAACCATAACAGTCAAAACTGCAGCCACCTCAGAGCAATGTTTTCCTGAGGTCTTTATTATTAATTAACTGGATATATATATATATATATATATATATATATATATATATATATATATATTTTTTTTTTTATTTTTTTTTATTCTACTAACTTGCCGCTGTAAAAGGTTTTCTGATTGGCTCTAAATTGTTTTTACTGACCTTGTTAGTTCCACCGTAATCTCTCCTTTGAAATCGGGGTCTGTGTACCCTCTGTTTATGCAGTGCATACCCCATAGTCTGGCTGGCCAGGCTAATCCAGATAGGGATCAGAGCTTGGCATCAAGCACATGAAAGCATGGATACATCCTGGCTTGTCTTCATGCATGGCTGTTGGTGATACTATAACAATAGGTGGACATTTTTAGCACACAACCAGTCCCTTAGTGCCACATCAGTATTGTGAACATAAAAGTCAACCTGAGCTTTTTTGCTGACCATAACCAGCACTTATATTTTAGCTGCATACCAATTGCTTCTACGGTCCATCTATTACAGAACATTTAGAACACATGTGGGATGTTTTGGTTTCACTACATAGAAGTGTAGCTAACCAATTAATAGTAAAAGCCAGAGGCCATCTTGTCAATCTGAACTAAAATCTCAAAATGTTTTTCTTATAACTTGTTGAAGCTATGCCACAAAATTTTAAAGCAATTTTAAAGCAGCAGGATCCAACCTGGTCTTGGTGAAGTGTCAAAAAATAGGCCAGTGAATAAATAAGATTAGCTGTAATCACAATACAAGTTTTTCAAGAAAATGTTGTTTTCGTTTTTTTTTTTTAACTCTATGTCATGAAATAAATGTTTTTTTGTTTTTTTTTTTTTTTTTTTTTTTTTAGAAATAAATGAAAACCTGAAGACCATATCTAAAACAGACATTAATGATTAATGGACATGTTTGCATAGTGTTAATGTTAATGCTCTTTCTGTATCTTGTTTTTTTGTTGTTTTGTTACAATGTTTATAATTTATTTAAATAAACTTACATGCTTTTTTCCTTGTTAAAAGTTTCCATGTGGATGTATTTACTGATATTTTGTCTGAAAAATCTACAATAATTCCACAATATTTCTTTGATGGATCTGTTTCGACAATCCTTTTTTCCTTAAGTTGAGATAGTTTGTATTAACCAGTGTCATCCCAAGTCTTTGAGAGTACAACAATGCATATTGGATATTTTTGGGGATGTTTGCTCAAATTTTCAAACAAGTAGTTGTTTTCATTTTCTTCTTTTTAGTCCTCTTACTTTATTCTTACCAGGGAATGTATGTTGATGTTTAACACAAGAATGCTCATGATATAGATATAAACACAAGAATGTAAAAGTTAATCTCTTTAACCAAAAGCTCTGTAGCAAAACAGAGCCTTCAAATGCAGTCTTTACATTTGAACAGGTTTCCATTTTGAATAATGCATGTGTACAGGAATTACAGGGGTCTAATTCCCAGTCTTCTTTTGTCGGGATGAATTACCGTATGTATTACCCTAAGTCTTGTTTGTTCTTTAGATATTGATTTAGTTGTTTGTTTATCGAATAACAATTTAGAGCTACAGTAAATAAGGACCATGCTACTGCAAGTTAATTATTTGAATTATTAATCATAGAATAGGTCAACCTGTCAGTTTCTATGGTAGTAGTTACATTGACCAGCAATGGGCATGTGGTATATATGGCATGTCCAAACTCTGACACTGACTTAACAGGCAAATAAATTGTGTATAATTAAGAATTACATGTACTACTCAGAATCAGAATGCCTTTATTGCCATTATACTCAATACAATGAGATTTTCACTTATGACATCACAGTTTCTTTAGTTGAGGTGAAAAGGAGATCCTTAACAGTATGATGATTTATTTGTCTTTTTATAAGGTAGAGCTATCTGATGTTTCTAACTTAATAAATCTGCACTGGCATAAAACAATAATAATAGTTTTAACCTGGAGAGACTCACAGGGAGGCAAGTGACATGAATTTGTATTGACATTTTTGGCACTAAGACCCTCATAGAAGATATGAAGCTTAGTACTGATGATGATAATTATATGGGCAAATTTAGGAGAATGAGATGTCTTCTCAGGGCCTTCAGACTGGTGGTGGACATTTAAAATAAAGAAGAAGGGAGCTGAATTAGGAGGAAGACCAAGGGTGTGGAACGGGCTACAGCAGATTGGAGACAGGAACTTGACCCTGATGAAGGAGCCTATAAAGGAAAGTCCTGGATGCTATTAGCAGTTGAGGAGGCCTGGAGAGACGGAGAAGATTGGCAGTGGTAGATGACATGGCAGTCTGGATGTGCAGGTAAGCTGGCAGACTTTTCAGCATTGAAAGTATGCCAAGGCTCAAACAATCATTGTTAAGGACTTCATATATGAAAATCTTTAAAAAAGATGCAGAGGTTCTGCAGGGAGATAATTTGGATAACCAGACTGGTGCAGCATGCTTGATCTTTTGTTGCAAATTTGTGAGATGTATAGTTTGTGGAGGCTTAAGGGTTGATTAACTGCCCGTGCAGTTTTATTTACAGAATCTGCAATAAGTGGGTCATTTACAATGATCGCTGCAAATGAAGAAAAAAATAATCTGCTCTGCTTGTACAAAGATGTTTGCACATGTCTTAGGGCTTGCAAACCTTCTAAAGATCACACCCTAAGTTGGATATTCTGCCTCTGACCTAATGTTTATTTTTCCTAAAACCAAAGAAGTGAAGCTGATTTGTTATCCAAACAAGAGCTATGCTAATCGCTCTTTTCATGCAGGTTGGAATTACTGTAAACTCAAACATGCCTGAAGCTAAGTCCCGCTCCTTCAGTTTTCCCTCCAGGCTAAAACCCCTTGAAGTGTCTGACTGACTTCTTTGTTAGCCCTTTGATTGATGACAGGCTGACTAGTTCTTGTCTGTTTTACTGTGAAAATACTTTAAGCTTTCCAGCACCTGACATCTTCACTCTTCCAATCCTCTGGGCTGACATATGATTTTTTTTTTCCTACCCTTTTTGAAAGTAACTTTTTTTTCAGTTTCAGCAGTTTACTCACCTCCTGTCAGCAGACAGAATGTTTGAGCCCTCTTGCCAAATGCTCTCTTCTGTTAAGCAGACTCTTGTTTTATTGGGTAGGTTCGGAGAACAGCTTAGACATAGGAAGCTAGGGTTAAAAAAAATAAAAACAGTGGTACACTCAAGTATAGATAATAGAATAGAAAGTCTTGTGTTGCACAGGCTGCATTTACCAACTAGAAAGTAGGCAATGTTAGTCTATCCAATATACATTATTTTTATTAAAGACATCACTTTGATTTCCTGCATTGATTCTTTAAGCACAAATCTTAAATGCAGAACAACTGTAAACTACTGTGTTATTCATAGGACAACTTGCTCCATGCAGAGGCTCAGGACAAATCAGAAAGCAGTTTGCCTCACTGTGCAATCTTCTCTGTGCTAAATTATTGTACCATCAGAGCATGAAACATGTGACAGCTGCCTAGAGGCTTTGGAGGCCTTAGTGAGTCGACTAACAGGGACAGCAGAGCTCATGGCCACTCGACGCCTGATCCAAAAAAGAACATGTGGTACTGTACTTGATGACATGGACAAAAACTTATGTTATGCAACTCATTTATTCAGTGAATTTAAGGTCAGTGAGGTTTGAAATGCAACTTTTGTTGCGATGAAGTTTCATGGTTTTGGTTCTGCACTGTAAAAAAAGTCAGTAAATTTACGGTAAAAAAAGGTAAAAAACCAACAGTTTTTGACCGTCGTATCCAAAAACATTGCATTACCGTAGAAATTACATGGAACTACCGTAAGTCGAAACTGCAAAGAAAGTCAGTAAATTTACGGTAAGAAATGGTAAAAGACC